TATACAAACTTATTTAAATATTTAACGAAATGCGAGACTCTTACAACATATACCACATTGGATTAATATTTGACCTGTTGGAGAAGTGAAGAGATAAGTGAGACCAACAGGTGAACCAGGAGGATTTGTTTAGGTGTACACAGGCTCAACACACTCACGTCCAAAGGAAGAGCCCAGAACAAAAGAAGGGCCCTAGTTTTATACATGTTGTAGAAGGGGGTTGGTCAACCTAACAAGATGAAACTTGTGGATAGAACCAGAACAACGTCGGTCAAGCTGTGACAGTTTGCAGCTTAGCATATCTTGATGGCTTTGGTTGGATAAAAACAGGCTCTTAGGAGAACAGGAGGTTGTGAAACCTTATTAATAGGAACAAAGTTACTAATTTTATTTGTAATAGAACAGAGAACAACAGGGGGTATCAAGCCTGGCCTGATTGAGACCTTCACAGCAAACATACCACAGCAAACAACAGGAAAAGGCCCATGCTACTTTCAGTAAACAGAACAGACGGCCATAAGAGAATTAATTTCATTTCACTTTATGTAGTACATCTTCTGGCCAAACCCAGCCTACAATGATTTTGGTAATGCCTACCAGCTAAAAATCCATTTTATCTTTTTAAAGGGTGAAAGGGAGGAAGAGAAAGAAAGGGAGAGAGAAGGAGAGAGGGAGGGAGGGGAGAAAATGAGACAGAATATGACAAAGATTGTACAGATACAGGGTCACAACCTAAAATATGATGAGGCTTGTTAAAGCAGAGGTTCGAGAATTACAGCAGCATATCGAACAGCAGAAGAGACGATGGAATTCTTCAACCTTTGCTTTAACAATCCCTGACAGGTTAACAAAATAACAGCATTCTTTACCAGCACCTGGCGTGTTCCCCCCTGGGCCGCTGTCAGTGTGCCAAAGGCCCTTCCTTCTATTGTGTAACACGACTGCTGCTAGAGTATTTATTTCATCTTGTACTGTATTTAAGGACTGGCTTATTTTGTCCATGTCTTCTGAAATTTCTAAGGACAGGGCCTGATAGTAATATGTGGATGTAGAAATGCCCGATATTCCTGTTGCCGTCCCAGTGAGGACCCCTGCTCACATTAAGAAGGTGACTAGAAGGGGAGCTACCCTTTTTCTGATTGTGTTCTGTGGGAGAATTTGTTTAGACAAGGCACTTTAGAGAAGTTCATTGACCCCTGTCCTACTGCAATATAGAAAACTCATGCTGAGGATTCCTTTGGAACCAATTAAAAAGAAAGTCATCAGAGAGCACAAATGGCATAAAGACTTACATCAGAAAGACCACAGGGAGAGCTGACAAGCACAGCACGAAGGAAGCCAGGTGCACAAAACCAAGACACCTGCCCCTCCGCGACCTGCAAAAAATGCAAAGGATACAAGGGGTGCCTACCTAATTTAAAAGAAAACTCTTCTTTGATGAGAGAAAAGAGGTAGAATTTTAATGAAGAAATGAACATTATTTTAAAAGAAACTGTAGAACTGAAAATACTGAAATTTCAAAATTCACTTAATAGGTTCAATAGCAGGTTGAAATGGATGAAGAAAGATTAATCTGAAGACAAGTGAATAGAAATTACCCACCTGCCCACCAAAAGAGAGAAAAAAAGACTAAAGAAAATGGACAAGCTTGTAAGATAATATACATGGAACAATATCTAACAGCCCAATATACAAACAAACTGAAGATCTAAGGTGAAAAGGAAGAGTAAAAGGGGCAGAAAAATTGAAATAGCCAAATATTTCCCAAAACGAGTTGAAAACATAACTTACAGAAGTTTTATAATGCCCAACATAGTAGAAACGTCAAAAATGAATAAATAAAAAGAGACTCCAAGACTCAAACTACTGAAAACCAAAGACAAAGATTTGAAAAGCCAAAGATATATTACATATAATGGAAAAATTAACCATATGATAACTTCTCAACGGAAATTAGGAAAATATGAACTCAAAGAAATGTTGCAATCCCAAAAGAAAAATATTTTAGCTAGAACTTCTTTATCCAGTGAATCTTCACAAACTGGAAGGAAAATAGCATTCTCAAGTTAAAACGCACAATTCAATGCCAATGGACTGTTAAATTCTTAGTCCTTCCAGATGAAGAAAAATGATACCAGATGACAATTTATGTCACACAAAAGAGCAAAGTATACAAGAAATGTGAGTAGACATCAAACACACACAGGCACACTTCTACATATTTCTCTGAATTTCTTTAAAAATATATGACTATATGACTGCTTAAAATTTTTAACAGTGTAGTATTTTTTTAATTGAGTTTATTGGTACAATATAGGTATGCAATACAGTTACATTCATTATTGGGATCCTGTACCTTTACATGACAGGTCTTGGTTCTCATTTTTTCCCCTTGTCCCTGCCCTCCCTTCACCCCCTCCTCCCCTCCCCATTTACAAACACTTTATTTCCATTTTTTCAATTTCTCACATTTTTTTCCTTTCCCTTATTACCTTTCCCCCACCCTTCCCACTTTCCCTACACCTTTAGTCCTTTACTTCCTATTTTGCATTATTAATTATCTCATTAGGATCCTGTGTACTATTATATTTTTCACACCAGAGAAACTATTCAGTATTTCAGTTAAAGAAATCTCTGTATGAACATTAAAAATAGGGAATCCTAACATAAAACTAAAAAGGAAAGTAAAAGAGAAAAGGCAATGATGTAACATTAAAATAATCCTTAACTCTGAAGATGAAAATGGTCCCTTATATTTAAATTGCTTCTTGCTCTTGCAGTCTTATCTTATTCTTTTTTTCATTATTTAGAGAATACTTTATTAGTTTCTGTAATCAAACCCACATAGATATGACCTTACATATTTAATACAGTGCATTACCCCTGCACACATGGAAAAAAATAAAAAATAGAAAAATTAACATTTCTAAACCAATATGGTTGTCCATTTCTGTACAATGCCAACTCAACACAGTAAATTGGGATAACTTTTCCCAAAGTTGACAGCATAGTTAAAGTTTCCAAAAATTCAACTTTATATAAATTCAAATTCATATTTATATAAATATAAATATATATAAAAAGACCAATAATAGCAGTATGTTATGCATCAATAGCAGCAACAGCTTTTCCAGGTTCTGCAGTCATCTGAACAAAACTATAGACATTCATCACATTCCATTAAAAAAAAAAGAAGAAGAAAAGAATAATACCCAGAAAACAGCAAAGTTCTGTTGCTGTTGTGGTACCTGGTGCCATTTTTTTTATTAGCATCTTAATCATCATCTGGAAAGAGAACATTCTAGAGTAATATCATTAAATGTAACTCTGATAAAGCATGGTCCAAGATATTTTACATTCAGAGGTATGATACAGTACTGTCCTACATCAATAATACTAGAATCAGTTTTGGTTTGAAATTTGCTTTGTCTGCAAATAAGATTGCTACCCCTGCTTTTTTCTGGGCTCCTGTCACATGGAGAATTATTTTCCATCCTTTCACTTTCAGTCTATGGGCTTCTTTTTGCACTAGGTGTGTTTCTTGTATACAACATATTGTTGGATTTCGCTTATTATTCCATTTTGCCAATCTATTTCTCTTGATTGGTGAGTTGAAGCCATTGACAATTGAGATTTCTTTCCTTGGCCCTTTTAAGAAGGAATATTAAATTGATACTCAGATATTTGATGGCTCCCTTATTGCTACTGTTTTCGCCATTCTGGCCAAAGAGTGTGACCTATATGCTTTTTCTTTCTTTGAAAAAAAATTAGGAAAAATGTTCTCATCTCTTTCTGCTGTTTTGTTGTTGTTGGGTGGTGGTGGTGGTGTTGGTGGTGGTGATAGTGTTTTTTTTGTTTTGTTTTGTTTTGAGACATTGTCTTGCTATGTAGTTCAGACTGGCCTTGAACTCATGAGGACCCTCCTGCCTCAGCCTGCTGATTGCTGAGATTACAGGTGTGCACTACCACACCCACTTCTTGTTTTGACAGTTGTGATTTCAATTATCCATCATTCTATCATTAAGATTTCAAGCTGATATTCTTTGTACAGCATAAAAGAATAAACACAACCCATATATACTTTTTGTCCTTATTAAATTCCATGCTGAATAACATGAGTGTTGGAGGAAAGGCTTTCTTTCCTACAGTTACTACAATTGCTTCTCTTTTCCCGTTATGAACTCTCTGATTGAAGGTAACATGATTAAAATGTTTTCCACAAATCATAATGAAGATAATTATATCAATGATAATAGAGAAAAACTTTTATTAAACATACACTATCTGATAGGACTAGGTATAATTAACCTAGATTTATTAATTCATTGATTTCTTACAGCAAATCAATGCATACATGTGACTGTATATATTTAGACATAAGAAATAAAACACCACTAACATGTATGAGAAAAAATTTAAATATATGGAAAGATAAACAATACTTTCATAACAGTGGCTACATTCCTAGTATGACCTTTGGATTTGAGTTAATGAAAAGGAACAAAATAGTTTGTAAGGAGAAAATATGAATAACTTCAGCAATTAAAGTAAATGTTTTAAAAGAAAAAAAAACCCAAACATCCAGAGATAAATTTTGGGTCTTACTAATGAAGACAATTTTTATAATTACAAAAATATAGAGGCAACCACACCATGAATAACAGCCATTTTAAAGTTACTACACATCTATTAAAAATAAAATCTGTATTTATTGAAATGGCAGCCATGACTTTTGGCATGATAAAAGCAGGTAAATGTACAGCATGCATACCAAAACATTTCCTTAAAAATCAGAGTTTAAAAGAATTTGCTCTATGAAATTGAGCATAGTCATTGATAGTATGATTACAATTAATTTTTACTTTTAGTTTCTGATTTTCTATGTTCATTGATAAAAATAAAAACTAGTGAAATGAAAAAAATTAAATATAATTATAATAAACAAATTATAATTCATAAACAAAACTATAATTCCATAAAGAATTTAAAATTTCAAAGGTCACACAAAACAGTGTGATACTGGTGCAAGCACAAATATATAGATCAGAAAAAGAGAAGACCATCCTAAAAACATAAGCAAATACAGTGGATCCTTGACTTAGGGACTCAATTCCCAGGGGCTGGTTATAACTCAAGTTGGTTGTAAGACACTACAGCTGAGATCTGATGTCTACTTGGGTACACACAATAGTTAACAAGAGGCAGAAAATCTTCTATTAACCTAATTAACCCAAGTTGCTCATATATTAGGCCGGTCATAACTCGAGAGTCTACTGTATAAACAAGAATATAATGCATCCCCAAACAATGGGGAAATAAATAATTTTTGAAAAATTTGCATTGGTACAAGACTGGAGGATGTCAATTTATACTTTGAATTTCATAACCTCAGTGATATTCATTTGGATTGAAAACTGATATAAAATAAACAGAACATAGTAGAAGAGGGTAACTATCAAATACCAATTTTTCTTTACAATGTTAAGAAGGTGACAAGAGCTATAATTTCTATTATTCATTAATATGAGTTCCCTGGTGGCGAATGAGATCTGAGCCACTACTAAAAGCCTTCCCACATTCCTTACAGTTATAGGGCTTTTCCCCTGTATGAATTCTCAAGTGGCGAGTAAGGTTTGAGCATTTATTAAAGGCCTTGCCACATTTACTACATTCATATGGTTTTTCGTCTGTATGGATTCTCTGATGTTGAAAAAGTTGTGAGTTCTGAGTAAAGGCCTTCCCACATTCAAGACATTCAAAAGGTTTCTCACCAGCATGGATTCTTTGATGCTGACGAAGTTGTGAGCTCTGAGTGAAAGCCTTCCCACATTCTTTACAATTATAGGGTTTCTCGCCAGTGTGAATTCTCTGATGATTGGTAAGTGCTGAGCCACTACTAAAGGCTTTGCCACATTCCTTACATTCATAGGGTTTCTCCCCAGTGTGGATTCTCTGATGCTGAACTAGCTTTGAGCTCTGAGTAAAGGCTTTGCCACAATCCTTACATTCATAGGGTTTTTCACCTGTGTGAATTCGCACGTGTTGAAAGAGTTGTGAGCTTTTAGTAAAGGCTTTCCCACATACTTTACATTCGTATGGTTTTTCACCAGTGTGAATGCGTTGATGGTCAATGAGATTTGAGCAATAACTAAAGGCTTTCCCACATTCTTTACATTCATATGGTTTCTTACCAGTATGAATTCTTTGATGTTGAGACAGGTATGAGCTGCAACTGAAGGCCTTTCCACATTCTTTACATTCAAAGGGTTTTTCACCAGTATGGATTTTTAGATGTCGAGTAACATGTGAACCACAACTAAAAAATTTCCCGCACTCTTTACATTCATATGATTTTTCACCAATATGAATTCGCTGATGTTGAATAAATTGTGAGCTCTGACTAAAGGCCTTTCCACATTTTTTACACTCATAGTGTTTCTCTTCATCATTCATTATTTGATGCAGAGTAAGGAATGTCTGTTGAATAAATGTGGGCATATATTCATGAGTAAATAGTTCTTGGTTTAAATGCCCATTCCGGTATCCCAATTGTCTTGTAAAGTGGCTTCTATATTCCAACACATTTCTAAAACTGGAATATTCGAGGCCATGCTTTGTAAGACCCATTATCTCCCTCTGATATGACTCTATTTCATAAACTTCCTTCTTGAGAGATAATAACTTGCTTTCACACATTGATTCAAGATCTGAAAAGAAAAGGAATTCATAAATACTTTTTCCTTCCTATTTGTGAAAAGTTAAACTTTTATAATAGATACGAAAAAGATTACCTCATCAAGAGAGGACTTCTCTAGTCTCACATCATAACTCTTAGCACCTCTGAAAATTGATATACATATAATATAGCAATGTATACTATATAAATATATTACTTATGTAAGTATTTAGTAAAAGACCAATCATTTCTAAGGCTCCAACTACTATTTTAATATGGATTAAATCTACTTCTACATATTTAGTCCTGATTGAGGACTTCTCTTTCACTATATAACTATAGTATATTATATATTGGATTATATATTATTAATATGTGTCAATTATAATTGTATAATTAAAGCACAAAGCACACACATGGCTTGAATGTTGTCTCCTTCAAAATTCATGTATAGCCAATGTAACAAAACTAAGAGAAGGGGCCTTTAACAGGTGAGGCGCTTCTCTCATGAACAGAATGAGGTACCCTCATAAAGGGGCCTAACCAAGCGAAATGGCTCCGTATGACTCTTTGGCCATGTGAGGACACAGTAAGAAAGCCTTTACCAGATGTTGGTACCTTAATCTTGGACTTCCCAGCCTCTGGAATCATGAGCAAATAATTTCTTTTTATATACTACTCAGTGTGAAGTATTGTGTTTCATACAAAGTGGCCTAAGACAGTTTCTCTCTCACCCTATGTAATGTAGGCTCCAGATGTGCAGAGTTCTGAATGTTTTCAGCAATGCTCTAATCCTAACACCTTGGTATGTAGTCACACTCAAGAAATACCTTTTCAGTTCTCCTACTTCAGCCTAAATATTCTCTTCTCTGCCAACTTCCTTTTCAATACAGGCACAGAGTGGGTTTGTTTGTTTATTTATTTATTTTTGCCTCTAACACAACCAGTCATTTCAGTTTATATTTAAATCTATTTCTACATATTTAGTTCCTGACTTTCAGCTATATCCCCTAAATGGCTTATCTTTTCATTCTTCTTTGTGGAAGCTCCTTATGGACATATTTTAATACTATTTTTAGACAGTGCATTCTTAAAGCTGACATAATTAGTAAGCTGTAGCACCTGGTAGATCCTTACACAAGTTAATAAAAAATGTTGAATACAAAAAAAATTCAAGACAAACTAATAAAACAAGTCACTGCCAGGCAGGTAAAGTGAAGACCGGTACTTGGGCAGTAGGGATGGGTAGACTGACATGCATATACACACACTGTTATATTATTTGAGGAGTGGTAAAAGAAAACATATATATATAAGTTTCAATACAAAGAGGAAGAAATACTACCAAGGAAATAAATCTAATATGTGGATAAAAAGAATTTGGAGGAGAAGTGAAAGCCACTTTCTAACTTGAAATTAAGAAGTGGTAAGTACAAGAGTAGGAGAAAGAGTAGTGAGGGGAGAGATAGAACAGGATGCTTCATGCCAAGGTCCATCTCCAAGGTGGTGGCTGGGATGTAGCTCAATGGCACAGTGCCTGACTGGTAAGCACAAGGTCCTGAGTTCAATCCCAGTACCAAAAAAAACAAAAAACAAAAAACAAATCTAACTTGAAATTAAGAAGTGGTAAGTACAAGAGTAGGAGAAAGAGTAGTGAGGGGAGAGATAGAACAGGATGCTTCATGCCAAGGTCCATCTCCAAGGTGGTGGCTGGGATGTAGCTCAATGGCACAGTGCCTGACTGGTAAGCACAAGGTCCTGAGTTCAATCCCAGTACCAAAAAAAACAAAAAACAAAAAACAAAAAATGCTCTGTCCAGTGACTTCCACTTACCTAAGCACAGGCCCCTTGTAAGCTCTCTGCCAACCATCCAGGGCTCTTTCCCTTGTTCCAATAAGGAGATCACTTGAGGCTTAGGAATGTAAAGTCCTGCTCATGAGAAAAGATACGGAACACGGTTATGATGTGGGGAAATCAGATCCAGTCTCTCGGTGATCAAGGATGAAATCCCATTACAGAAACAGCCAAAGAAGACAAAGATGAAGCTTCAGCCATAGAACAGTAGAGGTGCCCGTTTTCCACGCTTCCTTTTCATTCTAGCGGAAACCATTTATCTGAGGATAAGGAGCAGAAATTCAGCTAGAAGCAGACATTCCAGAGGAGAACAATGAATTATTGGTATAGATGCCCTTACCCAGTGAGATGAGGTTTCTGTAGTTCTCCAACATCACATCTCTGTATAAATTCCTCTGAGTAGACTCCAGGCACTCCCACTCCTCCTGAGAGAAGTCTATGGACACATCACTGAACATCACTGATCCCTGGAACAATAAACACGTGCACTGCTGCGTACTAAAAGAAACACCTCCGAAACCACCCTGCTCATAGCCGGGAGTGGGGGCATGTGCTTGTGATCCCAGCTTCTTGGGAGGCTGGGGTGGGAAGACTGCTTGAGCTCCTGAGCTCTAGACCAGCCTGGGCAGTAGAGTAAAACTCCAACTCACACATGTGCCCCAAAAGACACTATTTTCAAAATGAGACTATTGTGCTTGTATTATGGGGTAAAGTAAATAAGTACTTCTATCAATGTCACTGAAAACCAGTATCTTTTTATTTTTATTTGATTTTGAGAACCAGTGTCTTTGGATGTCGGAAATAGGTGCAAGAGTAATGAGTTAATTTTATACTAAATAAATTCCTGACTTTGTCCACTGAATAAGCCAAGAAACAATGACTAACCCAGCAGTGCACAGCACCCTATTATAGTTTTCAAGTGCCATTTTCAAATAAAAGAAATTAAAGTTCTTTGGGAAAGAACTAATTTTTAGAATTAAACCAGAAATGCTTAGGATGAGTCCAAATACTTGGTCACTCAAGTCTTATTGAAAAGACTCAGACACTAATTTGAAGACATTTCCCTTGGCACAAAGTGGAATATAACATGTCCATCAAATTATAAGGATAAGAACTGTAATGAACTGATCCCATTAAAAATATTTAACCAGTTAGTTTATAATAATAGTGAAAACATAGTAGTTACTTTTAGAGGATTCTAAGAAGCCGACTCGTTATTTTGAAAAATGGTAAAACTTGGAAAGAATCATTCTTTCCTACGCACACTATCCTTCAGGCTAACCAAGGAGTTAATGAGGAACAGTTTTCCTTTATAGATAGAATATTCACATAACCTGTGATAAAAGGAGGAGGCTGGAGTGTGGTGGCGCACGCCTGTCATCCCAGCACTGGGGGAGGAGGGCAGGAGGACTGCTGCAAGTTGGAGGCCAGTCTGGGCTACATGGTGAGTTCAAGGCTACGCTGGACTACCTAATAAGACCTTGTCTCCCCAAAAATGGAAACAAACGGAATCAACAGACAAAAAGAAGGACCAAAATTAAAATATCAGTTTGCAATAACCTAACAATAATTATCAATGGCAGCTAAATCTTAAAAAAAAAAAAAATAGAACTAAGTATAAACTCCTGATAGAATTATTAGAAAGATGGGATAAATTTCACTGGAATCCTCTAAAAGGAAGGAGTATCTGCCTTTAGAGAGAAGGACAAAGTGGTGGTGGTCAAGGATCTACGCTTAACGTTCCTTAAATTTTTAACATATAAAAGTTGACAAATATGGTAGTGTACCTGCCTTGTCCTGAGTTTAATCCCTGGTTGCCCCCCCAAAAATAGTTGACAAATATATTTTTAAAATAGTAGTATTTCTGAAAAAGCATACAATTTCAGCTTCTCAGAACCTCTAGTTCACTCCTGTGACCTACTAAGAATCATTTCCTATTAATACAAATTATTTTTCTAATGACAGAATTTGCTAAAAGTATTACTACACAAGAATTATGAGGTTCTTCTGAGCTCTGACACTGTAGTCTTAACTACTTGTGCACTGGCCAAACTCACTGCAATTATCCATCATCTCTATCCCGAGATAAAGAAAACTGATGATTCACATAGAAATTTGTCATAACTTCGACTTTAACTTGGCTTTGTCTCATCATGTTGCTATAGTTTGGAATTTAAATATCCACCTAGGGCCGGGGATTCAGCTCAGTGGTTTGGGTGCCTGTCTTGCAAGTGCAAGGTCCCGAGTTCGATCCCTGGTACAAAAAACAAACGAACAAAAAAAAAAGCAAAAAAAAAGTTTTCCCAAAGGCCTGCGTGTTAAAATTAAGGCTTTGTCCCCAGCTTGGTGCTACTGGAAACTTTTTCTTTTCTTTCCTTTTTTCCTCCCACCCTCTGTCCCTGTCTCTGGCTCTCTGGCTCTGGCTCTGGCTCTGGCTCCAGCTCCATCGCCTCCCTCTCCCTCTTTTCCCTCTCCCTGCTACTGATCACCTTCCCATCCCCCTTGTCCTCCTTTCCTCACCCATTTCCCCCTTCCCACTCTCCCTTTCCCTCCTCCTTCTTTTATAAGATTGAACCCAGGGTCTTTACAACGAGCTACATTTGTAGCCTTTTATTGATTTTTTTATTTTGAGATAGGGTCTTTCAAGTCACTAAACTGGGCTTGAAATACTCCTGCCTCCGTTGCCCAAATTACCGGGATTAAGGCATGTGCTGCCATGCCAAGCCCACTGGAAAACTTTCAAAGAAGTGGGTCCTAGGGGAGGCCTTCCAGTCATTGAGGGATGCTCTCATGGGAAATGTGGGCCCTCAGCTCTTTCTTGCTCCTCTCTTTTGCTTTCCTGCCATGAGATAAAAGATTTTCTCTACCACATGATTCTTGCCATAATATGCTGCTTCTCCATAGGCCCAAAATCAACAGGGCCTGCTGACTCTGGACTGAACCTTCC